TCCAGGTTTACCTTTGCCTATCAAAATAACAAGTCCTTAGTTACTCAAAATGTGACCATTTTTTTTTTCAAATATCTCATAGACATCTGGGCCCAATTTTCTCTGTATACTGTAGGCCCTTGGGGGACTTTAAAGACAAACATAGCAAATTAAACTTGGATCTTAAGAGTCCATCAGTTCTGTCCAGTAAGAATTCTCTCCTAACAGCAATATTATATAGACAACTAAATCCTTTCTCTAACTTGAGTTTAGGACTTACTAACAGACATTCCATCTGATACATACTCATTATTGGCAGGATAGACTTGAAAATAATAAAATAGAAAGATTTTGATTTATTTATGGGCAGAACAGGAAAGAGACACATTAAGGATTAAGGAATATGGAATAAAGTTATGATGCAAATTACAGACCAAAGAGATCAATTTACTAAACCTCAAGTCAAACTGAAACCAGATATTAACTGAAAATGAACATGACTACATATATATGTTAGGATACATGCATATATGTGTGTGTTAGGATATACATATTTTTTCAAGCCAGAATCAAACCAATATATTTTCTAATGAACTAGAACATCAAAACATTCCTTTAACCGAATCTTAACTGAACCAATATTTCATTTGGTTTGACTTCCTGTTAAAAAGGAACATTTTTGTGTGTGTGTTTTTTTTAATTTTATTGAATCACCGTGAGATAGTTACAAGCTTTCATGTTTGGGTTACAATCACAAAATGATCAAACACCCAACCCTCCCCCAGAGCACATTCTCCACCACCAATATCCCCGGTATACCCGCCCCCTTTACCACCCTCCCTCTGCCTCCATGGCAGACATGATTCCTTATAATCTCTGTCTACTTTTGGGCGTTATGGTTTGCAATACAGACCCTGAGAAGTTACACTGTTTCGTAAAAAGGAACATTTTTGGCTTTCCTTTGCCTTCAAAGGAAGGTAGTTAAAATTCCCTGGAAATGGTTTATCTTCTACAACTTTTAGTTATTTAAGATGAATAAAAAAATGTGAATCTCTGCACAAGTTTCAGGCCTAAGAGAGATTAACAGAGGTTGGAAACAGAATGACATTACTGAGTCCTAAATAATGAAAAACAAATTTCAGATCCACTTAATGTTATCATTCTTTGGTTAAATGTATATTAACTTGCATAATACATATTAAATATTGACACTTTAATAATTATTTTTCATTTTTGAAATACTATTTTTCTTAAATTAATGACTGTAAGAAGTTCATGCTGATGAAAAATTGTATTTTGTATAGCCCATTCTTCTGGTGATACTGAGAAAGTTATAGTGCTCTGTGAATTGAAAATAGCTTATAACAATGGAAAGTTATTTTAACCTATAGAATTGCAAATTCTGTTTCAATCAAAATGGAAACCAAATCTTGGAGAAGTTAAGGATTCATTCTAATTCACAAAATTGGGAAGTTGGAATGTGGTGCAGATGGGCCTTCCAAGGTTGTCCGTAATTCTGATCTCTGCCTCCCACTTCTCCTCAAATTGGTTGCTCTCTTTATCTCTTATGTGTATAAGTACATCTTCATTCCTTTCCAATAGTAAGAGAGTTGTGAAGCAGCAGTAGCTGTCCTTGTCTGTCTGAGTCTGGGTTGGATCTATTGTAAGTCCTTTCAATTTGACAAATAACCACAATTGTATCCCAATGTGTTACTTCTATGTCTCTAATCTTGGAATCAATGAAGTGACTGTTATATAGGAAGGAAAGTCTGTAAATAGCATGTTGAAGATTATGCTTTACCATATATTTAAGCTGTATAATTATAGGTAGTTGTGTTCATGTATACTGGGTAACCAAATTGGATACAGTATGCAAAGAAGTTTACTTAAATTTTCTGCCACTTTAGGATTTCTAAGCAGTGGGTTAAGTGTTGGTTTAAAAAATGTAGCACTGTAGCACTGTCCTCCCATTGTTCATCGATTTGCTTGAGCGGGCATCAGTAATGTCTCACAACAAATTGTGAGACTTGTTGTTACTGTTTTTGGTATATCCAATACATCAACGGGGAGCTTGCCAGGTTTTGCATGCAGGCAAGATACTCTCGGTAGCTTGCCGGACTCTCTGAGAGGGGCGGAGGAAAAAATAGGTCCACAAATTTCTGTATATGGTAACCTTCAAGATGTCGAGCAATTTTTTTTCCTTGAATGCTGAATTTGCTTAGTGATGTTCTTAATAGACTAAAACAGAGGTGACACAAATGGATCGTAAAAGACAGTATAGTTTCTTCACTCTCTCCACTCAGTCTTTCTAACAGCCATCTTGTATATGAACCCCACAGTCCCAGCTGAGTCGTTAGGTGACTGCATCCCCTTCAAATACCTTGACTACAAGTAAATGAAACCTCCTGAGCTACAGTGAACCAACAACTTAGCAACTTCATAAATTCGAATCCACAGAACTGCAAAATAATTTTATTTAGTCACACTCTGGAGCAATAGCACAGCGGTAGGGCGTTTACCTTGCATGCATCCAACATGGCCGACCCGAGTTCGATTCCTCCGCCCCTCTCGGAGAGCCCGGCAAGCTACCGAGAGGATCTCACCCGCACGGCAGAGCCTGGCAAGCTCCCCCGTGGTGTATTTGATATGCCAAACACAGTAACAACAAAGTCTCCAATGGAGACGTTACTGGGCCCGCTCGAGCAAATCGATGAATGGGAGGGCCTTTACCTTTTACCTTTTAGTCACACTCAGTGTTCAAGGATACACCTGGATCATCTCAGATCAGTACTTGGTGGGGACATTCCCAGTACTGGTTGGGGGAGATTTAACCCAGGCCTCTGGCATGCAAAGCATATGGTCCAGTTTATTGAGCTATCTCTTCAACCCTAAATGTTTCTCTTGGATTTTTTTTGGGGGGGACTATCCATGGTAGTGCTCAGGGTTTAATCCTGACTCTGCACTCAGGGATCACTTCTGATGGACTCAGGGGACCATACATGGCTACCATAAGTGTTCTACCACTGTATTATCACTCTGGCTCCCTAAATGTTTCTTCAGTGACTAAGGTTTGGAGTAATTTGCTTCCCAGCAGGGGATAAGCAATACAGTTAAGAACCTAGAAAAAATGATATTTTTGAACCATGATAAGCTTAAGGATTAATACTCAACTTTATACATTTGTACCAAGTTATAAAATTTACTGCTTTGTAAGGCTTTGCTTGGAATCCTTACCAACAATTTCATTTTGAACCCAAGTGCCAAAACCTAGGTCTTCGTAGTTTTTGCATATGAGTTTGTTTTAGATTGATTTATATGCTGCTCTGTAAAATTAACAATAATATGACCAAAGACAAATATTTTTATTTCTTCAGCAAACTATCTAAATCTATAAACATGATGTGTGAAATATATTATGTATTTCTCTTATGTATGTTTAAAATAAAAATATTTTTGAGCATCTATTGGGATTTAGGCACTGTGCTTGGCACTGAGGATACAGAAATGAACATGACACCTTGGCTTTGTAAGGCTCAGAATTTAGGGCAGTATACAAGTAAACATAATTAAAACAGCACGGTGACTAATACTCCAGAGGTACAAATAACATACTGTGATAATGTATATAATAAAACAATTATTTCTATTCATGGTCTTAAAATATAAATAGGAGTTTTCAAGCAAAGTAAAGTGGTTGGAGGGATGTCATTACAGGTATTAGCTAACAGGGTGTGCAAAGACATTGATGTATAAAAAGCCTGAGGGTTTTCTTTTGATAGTTTAATTTCTTCCTCTGTAACTGAAAACTGAAGAGATTTCTGGTGAGAATCTTATTCCAAGGAATGTGAGGCAAGCTAGACAGGATGATTATTTAGGCCAAAAGAATTTAAAACTAATAGTTTTTTCCAACCTGCCTCAGAATTGGAGGAAAGAGAGAACATGTTTGTGCTGTCAACCTAAAGGTTTTCAGGCTAAAAGAGTTATGGTACACTCTGAGTCCTTGGAGGACAAATGTGGTCTTTTAGTCATGTGATTTCCTTACCACAAAGAACTCAAATTGTCTGTGCATGAGTCAAATGAGTTTTTCAAAGTGGACTTGAGTCACTTAGTATCTTATAGATCAGTGCCACTCAAACTTCAGAAGCAAGAACATATATCATAAAGGCAAACCAACATCTGCTTCCACCAAAAAAATCATGCTATGAAAAAGTCAACTGAAGTAAATGACTTACTTGGGCATAGGTAATTTATTTTTGACACAGCCACTGCTCTTGTCACATACAGTTAAATGGTTCATGGTTGGGTCAGGAGTGATCCATAGAACAGATTGTTAGATCACTACCATTCACTTGTAAAATTCTGTATGACAAAATATTTTTACCTTAAAATATAACCTATACTTTTCCTGCTTACTGTGAGAGCGATGTAATTTATCATTTTGACTTAGAAGTAGTCTAAAGTCAAATTATAAGTTGAAGTATTTCAAGTACAAGGACATTTTCAGGTATTATTTGTATTGGGAGGTTGGGACTATACACAGCGGTACTCAGGGTTTTCTAGGTATGTGCTCAGGAATCACTCCTGGCTATACGAGGTGTTGGTGGGGACCAAACTCAGGTAGGTCACTTTCAAAGCAAACACTGTATATCATAACACTAGTACTGTCTCTCATGCTCAGGTGTTATTTTTCACATTCTTGCTTTTTAATTTGATTTTCTATTTCACATTTATGTTCGGATTAATTATTTAACTCTGCTTTTACTAGGTGATGCTAACGATGATGACAATGAAGACAAAAGAGCAATCATGGCAAAAGGAGTCAAGTTTCTGGTTGTATTCACTTGAGTCAGAGATGTGACTGTTTTTCCATGACTCCAAACAAGTTTGACTATTTTGTCTATGAATTGATATATTTTGCAACATGGAGACACAATGATGTTCATGAGGAATTCATTCTTCAGCATGCATAGAGTATCAGTCTCCATAAAATCAGCGTGCACAGTTAGGAGAAGAGCACTCACCGTCTTGGTCGTTACCTGAGTCAGCTGGAGACTTGCTCCGGCGCATGGGGCCAGGGCTCTTAGCTGAACTCTTCTGAGGTGTTGGAGATGCCTTTGGGCCAGCTGCAGCTGATGGGTTCCCCTTCATTACTCGGCATTCTGTTGTAAAAAGACACAAACAGCATAGTAGAACCAAGGGTAAAAATGAGGCCTAGTACATTATCAGTCTCTGGAAACTGGCACAAGTACCACAGGCCAAAGCAATATTGATTCAGTACTCCAAGGTGGTCCTCATTGTTCGTGAGACAGATGGCTCTGCAGAAGAAGGCATGGGAGAAATTTTCAAAAGTCACCTGGACTAAGCCAGGTGTTTAAATCCCTGGATTATGAAAACAAGGGAAGAAGTTGAAAAGCAGGTTGAGTAGGTAATTAAATAGTCAACTTAATCATTTGTGGACAACTAAGTCTCAATATAGCACCTGTTAACATAATGTTAAATTAATTTCCTTAGAGGAGAGATTGACAGCTCAGAGGTTGCAGTCACATGGATGAAATTATTTTATTTTCAGTAAGGGAGAAGTTAGCATTTATTATTCATTATATGCCACATGTTGTAATAGGAATTATTGGGGGTATCTTAGCATTTTATATGAATAAGCATTCCCACACTTTCACTATGAATTATTTGTAGTTATTTTCAGTCTCAGTAAACATTAGCACAATTTCCTATGTTGATTTAATGAATAAATGGGCCTGTAGTGATTCTGCGACTCTGAATTTTAGAAAACTCCTGGGTGTGTAGGAGACTTGGCTCAGTATTCCTGCTACTTGACTGAGCCAAGAGTCTGACACATTCCAAGCACCTTTCCTAAGCAAGTCACTCAGCATTCTTACTAGGGTCACTTTCAGAGGTAATTCTGCATATTAGGAAGACTATTACTTTCATTTTGTGGATGAGAATGATGCATTTAAACCTCTTGCTTGGGGAAGAAATAGTAGCACAAAAACTGACAGCAAAGTTTCTTGAGTGCTTGTTTCTAGTGCTTATTTCACTGTATTTACCCCAAGGGAATGTTTTGCTGCTCAAAGTGAAACCAGTTATGCACAGAGTTGTCTCTTATTTTGCAAACTTGAGGGTCACCTCCTACTTAAAGACACAGTGAAATATCAGTTCCCGAGAAAATTTAAGAATAATTTCTGGTAAATTTAGATTATTAAGGAAACTGTGTCCAAAAATGGTTATTTCTGTTTGCTTTCCCTTTTGATTTTGAAAACTTTGGTGATCAGTACTCAAAGCTGAAAATGTAGAAAGTATATAAAATTGGACATTTCCTGGGATTTGTTGGAAAAAAATGTTTGGTTATTTCCATACTCTCAAAGAGAAGAGAAGAGAAACTCACTCTCTTTAAGGATTCTTGTCACTTCTAGTTGTCCATAAAGTCTTTATTGGTACAACTATCTTTTTTCTGGACACTTGACTTCTTATAAATGGAAAATATGTTTTCAATGCATCTTTCCAGCAGAATGATGTCCTGCACCTGTTGCAATTTGCACTATGTCATCATTAACTTACACCTGAACCTTGGACTCAAGCAGAGTGAGATATGGGGATACTCCCCTTCTTCCTGAGATTAATAACCATGTGGAATGTTGAGTCATTATTCAGGGGAGTGGAGCAACAAGCTAGAAAGTGGGGGAAAAGAAATAGGTTTAATATTAAGGATATAGAAGAAAACATTTCTAAAATGGAACCATAAAACAACGCTGATTGCTGGAGAATGTTGACTGGAAAAAACATATGCATACAATATTCAAGTTCTGACTACAAGTGGTCCTTCCTGTGGTCTGATTGTGTATGTTAGACTATATGACAAAAGGTGATTCAAATACATGGTCGTTAGTGGGGTGTAGTATCATTTATATCATAAATGTTAGTGATTTTGGACACTTATCAACTGGGACCATACAATAAACTCGTCAGTTATGTACTCATGTATCTAAATATAAAGAAGATTTGATATTTGTCTTTGAGGGATAGCACAGAGGTAGGACATTTGCCTTGCATGCAGCCAGTCCGGCCGAGCCGGGTTCGATTCCTCTGTCCCTCTCGGAGAGCCTGGCAAGCTACCGAGAGTATTCAATATGCCAAACAGAGTAACAAGAAGTCTCACAATGGAGACATTACTGGGCCCGCTTGAGCAAATCGATGAACAACGGGAGGACAGTGTTTGTTTATTTGGACCAATCACTTATATTCTCTAGGTCAGGGGAATCCATAGAAACCTTAAGAACATGAGGGATCAATGGATATTTAAAACAGAGAGGATGTACTTACCATTTTCATCCAGAGAAAAGTCATCCTGAGCATAGCGAAATTTTTCAGGACCACAGGCAATAAACACATCATCATCACCAAAGAAATCATGGAGACAGGTTACCTATGGAGAAAAAACACACACTGGATTGGTTTTTGATGCTTTTGTGACAATGAACTGTCTGACATATAAGCAGTGGTAAAAAATATCTTTCTATCTGGATCATACTCTCTAGTCCCTAGAGACTTTCTTTTTAACTCCCAAGCTCAGATTCTATACCATGGCCCTGACTAAGTAAAGACAAACTCTTCGTCATTGTCTTTCCATGTTTCATTTGTGGCAACTTTTTCCCATTACATCAAGAAAATAAAGAGAGTCCTAGAAACATAAAGATATGCTGTCCAGGGAGTTGATTGAGAGGTGAAGGATATTCTCTCTTTGATGAATTTTGAGAGAAAGGACACTAGTTACTGCACTTTGGAATCAAAGAAACTACAATTCTGTTTTAAAATGTGCCAATTAACTGCCATGGTTCAGAATACTATTCCTCTCTGGAGAACCAAGAAGAGAAAACTGTACTGCTCACTAAAACTTAAGAGGTTCATGCAGGAATCAGGCTCCAGGATACTTCTTGCACTTCAATGCCATCTTCACTGCTGCTTTTTACCAGACACCTTTCTGCACAAAGAAGTAAGGGTCTCTGGAAAAATATGCGGTTTCCTAAAGGCTCCCCACTTCTCAGCTTTTCAAATTACATCTGGTAATTATTCCAATACATCAGGGAAACCCCAGGAGAAACCATAGATTAAAAAAAATTCTTATTCCAACTCTTGGCTTAAAAATGTTCAAAGCTTCTAATTGTTTTAAGCTATCCATTCAAGCTGCCAAAATGGATTTCCAAAGGCACAGTGCTCACAAACTAACAACAGCTTGCTGGTTGCAAAGGGCAATATGTTGCAATCGAAAAATATTTATGTGAATAACATCACCCCCACCCAGGGTGTATTCAATCACCATTCTCCCAGCCAAGATCATTATAAGCCCTAAACAAAGAGAGATGCTTAAAGACTGTCCCATTGTCTCGGTCCCCCAATCATCCAACACATGCCAAGAAAAGGGAGGGACACTGGGAAGTCTTCCATATTAGTATCCCAGCCCTAGGTTTTGACCTCATCAACACCATTCTTCAGCCTATTTGTCCCTCGTCCATTCATTCCACAATCACATATTGATAAGTAGAGCTACCTTTAAGTGGATGCATATACAGTAACACGCACTGAGCTGAGTTACTAAATTTTACGCTCACAACATGATCCTAGGAGTGGGTATTATTGTCAACATCTGTACAGATATGAAAACTGGGTTCCTTAAATTGAAAGTGATGAGGTCAGACAAAAGCAGATGCTAATTGATTGATGACTATGTAAACTAACTGAAAAGCAGAGGCTCCTAATCACACAGTAATATAATGCGCCTAAGTATAGTTCAGGCACTTTGGAGAGAAACATGAACTGAAGTTCATGGAGATCACATCCTGATGGAGTGAGATACATAGAAAGAGATTGTTGGTTTAGTGGCATGAGTGCTAGGAAAAATTGTATCAGCAGTGCCTTTGGAATGACTGATTATAATATCCAAGTGAATGAGTCACTAGCTGACACTATTAATTCAATAAGTATTCTGCATACCGTCCTAATAGCAGGTCCAATTACAGAGGCCACATGGTCTTGTACTCTATTATAGCCTCCCATAGATATAATAAACTTTTGCTTGATAAGTTTGTTGATTCATTATGAGCTTCTAAAGTTTCACTTTACTTATATATTTTTACTCCTGTGACCTCCAAACCTTTAAGATCTCCTCCATTCCTTCATGTTTGAGGATGCCTCTATCCCTGACTGCATTTATAAGGGGACCTTTATACTTGGCATCCTTCCTCTAGTGGGCTCTAGGATCTAACACTTGTTTAAAGACCTGTCCTTATTTTCATAAGCACTCACATAGTTCTTCCATTAGGTCACAGGCTTTATAAAAATGTTAAAACCAAGTTTATCTCTCCCTTTATATATATCCCCATATTTCATTATAGACTGTTATAGTGAGAACTTTACTAAGGCTAATTGAAGGCAAAGAAATTAATAAGGATGGTTCTTAAGAATACACAAAGGCAGAAAAGTAGGAACAAGAAATATCACATTGGTGACAATCAAAGATTTTGAAGGGAGCGCAACTACACAAATTTAGGAAAAGGAAATGATTGTAAAAGTAATGATTATAAATTCTGAAGTTAATATTTGTATATCGGTGTTAGTTTGGAAATTTAGAAGAAATGAATTATTTTAAAGGAAATCTTAAATAATCAAATTAGCTAAAAATGAAATGGAAAATCCAAACCGACTATTAGCCCCAAACAGAATTTAGTAAATGCTTCAAACAGCAACGCTTCCCCCAAAAGTCACCAGAACATTCATTTTGGAGTTATCTGTGGAAATTTCTTCTCAAGAAGAAAACCAAATGCTCAAAAGCATTTGGTTTTAGCGGTGACATGCCAAGTTAGCCTATTGTAGGAAAACAAAGCCTTCCCAGATTGTTCTGGTGGTTGCTATTATAATGACACCCTCTCATTTAGCTCCCACCCAGAGTTTGGGAAAAGCCTTTGGATAACCTCTCCTTCGGGGCACTTCTAAGAAAGGCAAAGTCCTTCATGCTTCTGACAAGCAGTGGTGTGAGTAGCTTCAAACAATTTATCCTTCAATCCAGCTGTTAAGCATCAGGTTTCTTGTGTGATCCCATCCCACACTTTATTGGCTCCAAAATGTAGAAAAATTCACATTGTGCATGTGGGATACCCAGTTTTTTTCCAAATGTATTGGATACTGAAACATAATAGCCATTACTGTGTTATATGGTTGGGAAAATAGAATGCTTTTCATTTAAAAAATGAAGAATTTGAGGTACAGAGAATGAATGTTGTCCAAGATTACAAAACTGAATAATGGCAGAGTTGAGATTAGCATCCAGGTGTTCTCATTCAGCTCAGGGCACAATAATTAATTACCTTGAGGGGACATGCCCTCTTAAAACCCTTATTTCAAAGGCATAAATAAACCTAGATGGTAGAGTCTGCACTTGTACTAATCAATACCTATTATGCATTAGACGTTTTACTCAATTGAAAACATATTTATGGGGGGGTATGGTGCCGCCAACAGGTCAATCTGTACCTGTGAGACGAGTGCATCAGCAGTCTGAAGGCAACTACAGACTTCCAGATACCCCAAAATTGCTGCTGTGCCTTTGGCCAGACCCCCAAAACATGGGGCAACATTTACCAAGAAAGTGAACGGCCAAAAGTTAGGTATGTGGGAGACACACCCACAGACCACCTCTGGCTCAGCTATATAATTGGAGGCATGGCCTCTCTGGTTCCTGATCAAACTGCTTAACGGCCATGATCCCAGAGACTGAGAAACAAATCTTGAAACCCAACGGCTTTTCGCAGAAATGCGTTCGGTCCCTGCAGTAGGTTACCAGCGCCGAGCCATCCCAGGTGGGAACAGGTTTTGTGCCTTGGCCTGTTCCCCTTGGTGGCTCAGTTGCTGTCATCCTCCAGAGGCCACTGGACAGTCAGGTTTGGGCCCACATTGACGAGTCACGTGGGGCCTCACGGGATGGGGGTGGAGCCGGCCCTTCCATCCCGTCCCAAAGAGACCCCGAGTTGCCGCCCATGAACGGCCTCTCTGATCAAGCTGCATAATGGCCATGATTCCAGAGACTCAGAAACAAATCTGGAAACCCAGCAGCTTTTGGCAGAAATGCATCCAGACCACGCAGTAGGTTACTGTCACCAGGCCAACCCAGGGGGAAAGGGTACGGTCCCTCTGTCTGCTCCCCCTTGGCGGCTCGGTGGCCACCATCCGCCAGAGGCCATTGGACAGTCAGGTTTGGGCCCACAGTGACGAAACATGTGGGGTCTCACGGGATGGGGGTGGAGCTGGCCCTTTCCTCCCCACTGCAATGAGACCCCGAGTTGCCGCCCATGAACGGCCTCTCTGTCTCCTGATCAAGCCGTTTAATGGCCATGATTCCAGAGTCTCAGAAACAAATCTTGAAACCCAGCGGCTTTTGCCAGAAATGCGAACGGTCCCTGTAGTAGGTTACCAGTGCTTGGCCAACCCAGGTGGGAATAGTTTTCGTGCCTTGGTCTGTTCCCCCTGGTGGCCCAGTGGTCGCCATCTTCCAGAGTCCCCTGGACAATCAGGTTTGGGCCCGCAATGATGAGACATGTGGGGCCTCACAGGATGGGGGTGGAGCAGGCCCTTTCCTCCCCGTCCCAAATAGACTCTGAGTCGCTGCCCACAAACGGCTTCTCTGGCTCCTGATCAAGCTGCTTAATAGCCATGATCCCAGAGACTCAGAGACAAATCTCGGAACCTATTTGGCTTTTGGCATAAATGCGTCCAGACTCGCAGTAGGTTACTGTCACGGGGCCGCCCCAGGGGTGAAAGGGTGCTGTCCCTACACCTGTTCCCCCTAGGCGGCTAGGTGGCTGCATTCTCCAGAGGCCATGGACAGTCAGGTTTGAGCCCTCAGTGACGAGACACATGGGGCCTCACAGGATGAGGTGTGTATCCGGTCCTTTCCTCCCCATCCCAATGAGACCCCAAGTTGCCACCTACAAACAGCTTCTCTGGCTCCTGATCAAGCTGCTTAATGGCCATGATCCCAGAGACTCAGGAACAAATCTTGGAACCCAGCAGGTTTGGGCAGAAATCCCTCCAGATTTAATTGTTAAAACTTCAGAATTCCAAAATCACATGGCCACTACTGCAGTCACGTGACACCATATGTTATTCATAACCAGCAATAAAAAACAAATTGTCTACTGTTGCCTTTTCAGCAGATCTGAGTATTAGGGTAAAATCCCAAATAATAATGGTGGGTCTGGTATCAAAATATTGAATATAATCAAAGTAGAGAGAGAGTAACGTGGAAATCATCTGCCTCATAGGTAGGGGGACGGAGTGGGATGGGGGTATACTGGGTTTTTTGGTGGTGGAGAATGGGTACTGGTGAAGATACAGGTGTTTCATTGTATGACCAAGACTTAAACCCGAAAGCTT